CAGGGGATGCAGCTAGATACCAAAAAATGGAAGTAAATTAAAATTTTACAGAAAAATACAATGGAATGGGAATGGGTAGGTAACATTTTATTGAAGGGACGTTAAAAACCTATCATTTATCTTTAAATTTCTTTCTTAATATCCTCCATCATGACTATGCTTGTAAACAAAAGGATCAATTAACGCCCAGATAAATAAATGACTTTGATTACTGAAGTACTGTTAGATATGTATAGGTAAGCTATCAGTGAGCTTATGACACACTTTATACGCATTGAAGTTTATCTAACTGCCTAAACTAACACGATCGGTCACTTACTACTTGATCAGTTCGATAATTTTTCAAATTTCACGCTCCTTCCGTTTCCCCACTGCGTTCCTTTCTCTCCCACAGATAATTCGCAAATTCAGCTCTCTTTGTCGTCTCGTTCCGGGCTCCATGAAACCCGCTTTTCTCATATCAGTGAAAATTGAGAACGCTATGCTAGAGGGTTCCTTGAAATCTCTTTCTCATCATGAGACTAATTATACGTTGCGGGCGGATGTTCAGTTTTCGGCGAAGGGATGTCTCAGGTGAAACGTATAAAAGGAAGTTTCGATGTTCACTCGGATTTCATATATATGATTCAGTTTGTCTGTAGGCGACTGTTCTTATTTCGTCGCTTCTATCCCAAGCTCCCAGCTCAAATCATAAAAATGTTCTCTGTTAACCATTTTGCTAGGACTGGGCAATTAACGACTTCTCACACTGTGAACTCAGAATTCAGATGTATATTGCCTTGTATGATAGTTCGTACAGGTAGGAAAGGTGAAATTCACGGAAAGAAACTTTGATATTCAAAATGATTTGCAAATAGAAATGGCTTCTCAAACCGTTGAATAGCACTGATAGGAGTGAATTTGGTGGGAAAAAGCTTGGCAGTTCTTGATTTTTGTTTGTACCCCATACATTTCATTTTGATCAGACTACTTGAGTTTCCGACTTTTTTACAGAAGAATTACATAATGTACGAAACCAACGGCATAATGCTCAGCTCAGCACCATGGATTTGTATTATCAAGTCTCAAGAGCACCATTCAGAATCTTCCCATCTATGTCATTTTTCCATGGCTTTCAGAATAATATTCGTATTTACCTTGGCGATTTTGAGCAAAAGTCGCCCTCATGTCATTCTGGCTCATTCAAAAAATTTCTTCACAAGGAACACTGCCTCTTCTTCAAGAGTTGTCAAAATTATTGGACGATACATACCCTTCATGGCCTGATGTGCTGCTTGGCAATCTGACTATCACTTCCTGACATGTCATTCACTTTATCTTGATGTTGTAAGGTTTCTGAGTCACACATTTCTACTTGAATTGAGGTTCGAAGTGAATTCAGAATAGGATTATGGTGATTTTTGTCATTGATCTTCAATTACTTCACGTGCTTTCAATAATGTCGACGTTATTGTTGAAATCATTTTGTTTTTACTTTGAAATACTCAAGCCGGAAGCATTAAGTTCGATCTGTTTTTGCTTTGCTAATTATGGCCTCAGTCTGCTACGCAGATATCACCCTAAAGATGTTGAGAAGACTGCAAAAATTTCGAACTTCGGCGGCCCTCGAACCGATGTTAGCTTAGTCCAACTCTAAAAATCAAACTTAGCGTCTTCATTCTTGAATCAAACGTCCTCAGAGGATCCCAGTAATATTTAGAAAAAACAGGGAAAAATTTCAAAAAACATGGCATTGTCTTCCTTATTCTCTATCGTGCTGATCCTTACCACTGTTGTGTGCTACAGAGTTTCCACTTCTTCTTTCAGGCTCTCCTCAATCGAACGAAAGCGATGCTGCTGCGGTTGCTTTCATTCGTGCTGCTACTGAAGCACTCATCTGCCTCGTTTTGTGGTACTGCTGCTGTACCGTTCAGCTTCGAGGTAGGCACTTTGTTGTGACTCGAATTTTGGCATACTTCACTCCTTTCATAAACCCTCTTCCACTACAAGGAGGTCAGTGAGATTGCTTTCATAGTCC